TGGGAAAGAGAATGTAGACAGATTTTGCTGAGGACTTTAATAAGATTATAACTGCTGCTGCAAGGCACAGGCACAGAACAATGTCGCGGAATTTTTTATTTCACAAAGTAAAAATAAAGAAACCGAAAACTGTTTTACATAAAAATACACGTCACTTACGTTGGTTTAACACTATACATTAACACTAACGCCTATTAATTATGTTTTTATATAAATTCCCCAACTTATTCCTAGCCCGGATACACAGCCGGCATCGCCGGTGTTACTATAATTTTTAACGAAAGTATGGTTTTTTTCGCGGGTACGATGTTATGAATTGGATCTAGATCTAGTTCACTATTCACTCAAAATTATTTAGTATAATTTTATTAGCATAGAAACGCGTTAAAAACACAGACTTGTTGCGAAACTAATGAAAACAATTGGTTTGTTTACGACTACTAATTCAGGACCGCTTCGGTAGAACTGTCAAAACAGTCAGGCCTTCAATATGACGTTAGCCACGGTATTTGATATAGACGATAGTAACGTGAAGTAGCTTCGGTATATTACATTTGTGATCAAATTTTACTTGAAATGAATTAACGTTTATTTACATTTCGCTTGTATATGTTTGGTTAAAAAAAATGCATGTGCATGGTCCGTCAATCTTTTATACAGGGTACGGCATTCCGGTATAGTGCGTCGGGTATCTGTAGCTCCTAGAATAAAAAAACTTGGGAAAAGTACAGACTAGGATGTATTTTAGAAAAATCGTTTAACTCCTACAAGGTGGCTCAAAAAAGTATGAGTGGATCAGGATGATTTTTCTTAAATGGCACACCCTGTATATTATTTTATTTTTGGCTTCCTTTCAAATCACTTTAAATAATCCTAAGATACGAGTAAATATATTTCGATAGTGTCAGAGATATTAATAAATAAATAAAAAATATATATTTTTCTGCCTTTTTTTAAAAAATATTAATAAATACAAGAACTCTCCTGAAATCAAAACTATATTAGGTATTTACTTTAGATGGTCTGTACTTACTTTGCTATGAATATCGTAATCTTAAATCATACAGGATGTTCAAAATTCTACGCCAAACTTTCTAAAATATAAAATATTTTTTCTTTGTTTTTTTTTTTAAATGGAACATCCTGTATGTTATTTATTTAGTAGTTGGATAATTAAAAAAATAAACATTTTTTGTATTTAGATTATTTCAAAATTTTTAACGGTTTCGCCGATATTCGCGGTTTTATATTTATATGGCATTTTCCACAGTATACATATTATTATTAAAGCCACCCAATGATTTTTCTATCGTATTTTACCGCTGAAAGAGCCATATGAAACTATACTGCGAGTATCAACGAAACCTTTAAAAATTTTGAAATACATTAAATACAAGAAATGTTAATTTTTTAATTAATTATCAATTTAATAAAAAAATACTATACAGGGTGTTCCGTTTAAAAAAAAAGAAAAATTATTTTATATTTTAGAAAGTTTGGCGTAGAATAATTATGAAAGGCTGAAAAATATTTTTGATTTATTTATTAATATCGCTGAAATTATCAAAATATATTTACTCATATCTTAGGATTATGTAAAGTGATCTGAAAGAAAGCCAAAAATGCAATAATACACAAATGGGTGTTCCGTTTAAAAAAAATCATCCTGATCCACTCAAACTTTTTTGAGCCACCCTGTAAAAGTTACAATATTTTCCCGAAATACATCCTAGTACATAGTATGTACTAGGATCAAGCCCAATAATTTTTGGAAATTGATAACTGCACTAATGAATATAAGTGAACGTTTTTGAAATTGAGAATCGATTGTATCATGGATAGTTGGTTTATCTATATAACCGAGAATGGTATTAGTTAGTTTCTATAATCATAAAAAAATCAATCAGAGGATTTGAATTTTTTTCTACTTGAACTTTAGACCATCATTGACTAGACACCTTTCATATCCGTTGTCATATATACAACATAAATCATGATTAAATGTAATCTCTCTGTAAGAGAATTAAAATTCTTTTTATATATTTTTTATTGAGTATATAAATAATAGTAAATTAAGCTAAGTTAATATATTTTTTATTTGATATAAAATATTATTTTTTCAGAAAAATGGAAGTGTGTGTAGTTTATAAATTATATTACAGGAAATAAGTTGTTAAGTACTAATCAAAAAGTGTGAGCAATGCTATACCAATGTCCGTTTCAGTACTGTATATGCTTGAATTTTTCAGGGTAGCAAACATTCAAAAACTTTTTACGCTGTACTTAAACTGCCGTTAAACGGTAGCTTACTAAAATGCCGTTAATCCTAAAGAAAAAAACATTCGACCAATGTGTACTACTAGTCATGACCTATGCATGCGAAACCTGGACAGTTAAAACAGACATCATAAGGAAACTGCAGGTCGCACAACGCTCAATGGAACGAAATATGCTGGGAATAACCAGGAGAGACCGCAAAAGAATAGAGTGGATTCGATAAAAGACCCAGGTAATATATGTCATCCACAGAGTTAAATCGCTGAAATGGCAATGGGCAGGACACCTGGCAAGAAGAACGGACAACAGGATGGACCACAAAAATTACAGCATGGTACCCACAAGGAATTAAGAGACCTAGAAGAAGACCGAACCTGTGATGGGAAGATGATATTAGGAAATTAGCAGTGAAAACTTGGGCCCGCATAGCCATAGGCCCAACTACAAAGAGATTATCTAAATATTATGTGAGGGAGGCTACACTACACCATAATTGGAAAATGGTTGAATAAGCTGAAAATGATGATGGGACCTTCATTTTTGTCATTTTGGTTTAAAAATCTACTGATTTTTTTTTGCTCTCGCTATTTTGCCCTCTCGGAATTTAGCTATAAAAATCGATCAACCCTGAGGACTCGCATAGTTATGATTTATTAGTGAACATTTCTATACTTGGGTTTGCCAAAGATGTGAAATAGTGAATTATAAAAAAATAATAATTTTGTTCAAAATATGTCCAGTTGGCTTGGAAATGATGACCGATGTCATTCCCCATATAATTTTACATATAAAATGATAGCGATGTTCATTCTGTAGTCATCGCTAACGCCGTTTTTTTTTCGATTATATTGTACTAACATCGGTATAAAAAATATTTGAACCGCCCTTGATATCTATGAAACGATTTAATATTTTCCAAAAAAAGATTGAGAGTAAAAAATGTCAAATAAGAAACTTGATAAGGATCATTTTCGAGCATCAAGCCACCCTGTATATCATTATCTATTTTCAAAACACACTTAGTGCATTATTTTAATTAAATGAAAGTTACAATGCCCTCTCAACTACATATTTTATCAGTTTAACTTAACAAAGAATGTTGTTTACAAATTAAATCATAGAAACAATGAAACCTGGGAGAAAATGAAAAATTTTTAGATAAGCATTTTTGATATCTCATCTTTTCTCTCATGACATTAAATTAATGCAAAAATTGTTGTGTTATACCGACTGTCTTAGAAATAAATTATCCCAGAAACTTGCAACTTATTTATTAATTCAGACCAAATGTATATTGACTTTCAATACTCTACAGGGATTATCATCATCATCATTTTCAGCTTATTCAACCATTTCCAATTATTATCGTGTAGCCTTCCTTACATACTCTCTTTGTAGTTGGGCCCATTGTTGCCTATTGTTGGCTATGCGGGCCGCATATTTGTAAACAACGTCCATGATTGTTAAGGTACATTCAGGCTGAGAGCGTCGAGCGTCGCGTCCGCGTGTCGAAATGGAATCAATTCACAACTTAAATTAGACCGTTCAGGCAGACATCGCAGCGTCGCGTTTGGCGTTGCGCTAGCGTCCGCTGAGCGTTGGGGTTCGAGTCCAATGGGGCGGACGCGACGCAAACGCGACGCGACGCTCGACGCTCTCAGCCTGAATGTACCTTTATTCGGTTCTAGGCCGAACGATGCCGCGTAAACAGCATACGATATCGCAAATCCGTCTAGTAAATAGCATCCGTGATTCCAAATTTTAACTGCCTTAACTCCTCTTATAAACAGCAGGCGATATCGGGAAATTTGTTGATTGGTTGCTCGTAATCAGCCTTCAAGATCGCAAAATTCGCAAGTGCAGGATGTCTACCAAAGAATATAGTAGTAAATAATATTTTGCAAAAAAAATAATTTGCCTCCAACCACGAGTATATAGGTTAATAAATAAAGAAATTATTAGAACACGTTTCGTTAAAAAGAAAGAAATTGAGGTAAGATACAGAAATTAACAAGAGTAATTATACAGAACAAATTAACTTAAATGTACAATTTCGGGTTTGGGAAATATTTTTTGCTCAAACCTAGTTCTGTGCTTTTTTTTTCGGACATTACCCGAATTCGAGTATTGTGCGTAACATATCAGGTCTTATCATAAGGATTAAAGAAGTACCACCAGTAGTGTACTCTTAAACTAATGTGTACTCTCTACACTATTGGAAAGTACCCTTTCAGGGCTGCTAGGGAATTTTACACTATCGCCATTCGCTTTGGCATTAAATTGTATGCAGGAGTACCAAATTTCACGAAAAACGGTTTACCAATACCTATTGTTAAAAATAAACAAAATATATTATTTTTATTTAACTTTTTGAGGGCTGTAACTTCTTCGGAAAGCATTTTAGGACATATACAGGTTGTTAACTCGACAGTTACTTATAGGGGAACAGAATGGCAACACTGCCTATTGAGAACGCATGCATTATTGATTTTTCTGCCGATTCGTCCCGTCGTTGCGTCGTCTATCGACGAGCGGGCCGAGGTTGCCATATTTCAATCATAAAGCTCTTGCCGGGAGTAATGAACAAATTAACAACCTGTTTGTTCATAGGAACTTTTTGTTTTAGTTTTATCTGTAGAATCACCCATCGAAGTTAGATACACTATTTTTTGACACCCTGTATATAAACGAAGATATAATAAATAAGTAAAGAAAGAACTTACTGGGATTCAAAATATCTTGATTGCTACACACAATATCCATCTGCTTCGCGCAAGATTCACTAATACCCTGCTTGCCGGATCTTATGCCACACAAAACGTCCAAGTACATATTTTCGATGTTGAAATTGGCATCGTTGAGCTTCAGTAACGTGCTAGCCTCACTCAAATTCAAATTTTGCCCTATTCGAAAATAGTCCTCGAATTCGTGCGCCCTCACGAATTGGGCAACTAGTATTTGACAAAGGAAAGCAGCGGAAACTGTGAGACGTATCGACATATTGATAGACGCGATGCGAATAACTCGCTAATTCTATGTCTAAAATGTAAAAGACTGACTGGATAAAAAAATTATCGTGTCGATTACATTATTCTACTCATTCTGATAATGTATAGGTAAGTAGCAGTGATCAATTTTGGAATTGTCAGATAAATAATTTCGGCTTTCGGCTTATTTATTGATATTTGCTTAAGACCGACTTAATTATAATACGTATTGTAATGCCGAAGTATTGTTATCATATCTTTTTTTAAGTTTTTTTTGCACAAATTTTGTACAGAGTGAAACAACAATACAATAGAGAAAACAATGTCTATATCGAGATGTGTCTTACTGGTGGAATTACATGTACAGGGTGGGTCAAATTCGACGCTTTTAAATGGAAACACCCTTTTCTATAGGAGATAGACGAAAACTAATATCGGTGTCTGGAGCTCAATTTTTGTCAAAAACATGATGGTGAAAAACGCATATCGATATCTGTTACCGTTACGGAGTTACGTGGTGTTTTTCAAAAATATGCATTTTTAACAAATCGCTATAACTTTTTTGCTATGGAAAATTTTGTATTTTTATGAAAACATTTCCAAAACAACTTTTTACGTAGAATTTAATGGTTTAAGTATAATTTTTTTTAAACTAATATTTTAAGAATTATCAATAGAAAATTTGATTTTTTATATGGGACACCCTGTATATTTACAATTTATTAAAAAGAATTTAAAATTACCTTTGCAAAAATATAACACACTTGATATTTTGCTCGATTCTTCTTCGAGATATAGAGTATATAAAAATTCGCCCGCTTTAGAAAAGTAGGCTTTGAACGACACCGGCTGTAATGCAAAAAAATTCTAGCTGTGAGCATCAATTAAAACGAAAATAATATTTGCTATGAGAGATGCAGAATTTTATAACAATTTAAAATATATTTAACCAACACCAACACATTTAAACTATATCTAAATAACAATAAAAATAAATAGCAAACCAAGACATGAGATTTTGCTACAGGTGTTCGACATATCGACCGTCTTCTGTTATGGACAGACGGGACAGTTTTTGAACATTTCTCGCGGAATTCATTAAATCATTGGGGGTGAAAGATACCCTCTCATAACTGCTAAGTATTTCTAATTCTTGTCTAGATTATACGGAAGAATAAGGAACCTTTATTCTTCCGCAAATATATCCAAATATATCCATAGGATTAGATCCATGGGCACTAAGTCAGGCGGCCTCGATGGCCAACGGCTGGGATCTTGATTAGCTATTCAATTATTCTTGAAATTGGCTGCAAAAATTTGCTGATAACTTCAGCATTCAGAGGCGGTGCGTCGTCTTCCTAGAAAAATATGTTTTCGAGTTCCATTAAGGGCATATCATCAATAAGGGGTCCAAAGCCTACTAGTTAAAACTGGCGAACTTTTAAAAATTCTGTATTTCGAAGGGGATTATAACAAAATATCAAGTGTGCTATATTTTTGGAAAGGTAATTTTAAATTCTTTTCAGTTAATTAAAAATATAGGGGTGTCCCAAATAAAAAATCAATTTTTCTGTTGATAACTCTTAAATTATTAATTTTAAAAAAATTATACTTAAACCATTAAATTCTACGTAAAAAGGTGCTTTGGAAATGTTTTCATAGAAATACAGAATTTTCCATAGGAAAAAAGTTACAGCGATTTGTTAAAAATGCACATTTTTGAAAAACACCCCGTAACTCCAAAACGGTAACAGATATTGTTGTGCGGTTTTCACCATCATATATTTGATGAAAATTGAGCTCCAGACACCAATATTAGTTTTCGTCTATCTCCTGTAGAAAAGGGTGTTTCCATTTAAAAGCGTCGAATTTGACCCACCCTGTACAGGGTAGGCCAAAATGGACGCTTTTACAGGGAAACACCCTTTTCTATAGAAGATAGATGAAAACTAATATCGGTGTCTGGAGCTCAATTTTTATCAAAAACATGGTGGTGAAAACCACACATCGATATCAGTTACCGTTTCGGAGTTACGGGGTGTTATTCAAAAATATGCATTTTAACAAATCGCTGTAACTTTTTGCTATGGGAAATTTTGTATTTTATGAAAACATTTCCAAGGCACATACGTGTGGTACATACGTGCATATTACATACGTGCATATTCGTCTTACTGGTGGAATTACATGTACAGGGTAGGCCAAATTGGACGCTTTTACAGGGAAACACCCTTTTCTATAGAAGATAGATGAAAACTAATATCGGTGTCTGGAGCTCAATTTTTATCAAAAACATGGTGGTGAAAACCACACATCGATATCAGTTACCGTTTCGGAGTTACAGGGTGTTATTCAAAAATATGCATTTTTAACAAATCGCTGTAACTTTTTTGCTATGGGAAATTTTGTATTTTTATGAAAACATTTCCAAGGCACATACGTGTGGTACATACGTGCATATTACATACGTGCATATTCGTCTTACTGGTGGAATTACATGTACAGGGTAGACCAAATTGGACGCTTTTACAGGGAAACACCCTTTTCTATAGAAGATAGATGAAAACTAATATCGGTGTCTGGAGCTCAATTTTATCAAAAATATGGTGGTGAAAACCACACATCGATATCAGTTACCGTTCCGGAGTTACGGGGTGTTATTCAAAAATATGCATTTTTAACAAATCGCTGTAACTTTTTTGCTATGGGAAATTTTGTATTTTTATGAAAACATTTCCAGGGCACCTTTTTACGTAGAATGTAATGATTTGAGATTAATTTTTTTAAAATTAATTATTTAAGAATTATCAACAGAAAATTTGATTTTTTATATGGAACACCCTGTATATTTTTAATTTATTGAAAATAATTTAAAATTACCTTTCCAAAAATATAGAAGACTTGATATTTTGCTCGATTCCTCTTCGAGATATAGAGTTTATAAAAATTCGCCCACTTTAAATAAGTAGGCTTTGAACAGCGTCGGCTGTAATGCAAAAAAATTCTGGCTGTGAGCATCATTTAAAACGAAAATATATAATAGGTATTATTGTTACAATCAAATTTTAATCTGAAGGAGAAATCACTGTTATCTTTCTGCCTTGGGATAGGCCTTTAAATCTAAATTATAAGCTCTGCAGTTTGCAGTCAGTAGTCGCAGTCGGCCGTTCCATCAGATTTAAAATTTCATGAACTTGGAACGGCCAACTATAGCTTGCAACTGCGAACTGCAGGGCTTATAAATTATTAGGCTTTAATTAAGGACACTGATATCGGCAAACTAAGAATTTTCCTTCATCACCCTGAAAAAGATATATTTAGTATAACTATATATAATATAAATAATTATGTAAGTAATAAAATTAAGTTAATGGAGCCTTATGAAAATATTTATGATATTTATATTATTTCTTTTTACTGATACTTTAGGTTACAAACTAAAAGTATCAGCAACTGTAATGTTATTGCATTATCCTAAATTATTAAAAATGTGTGTTAAACATTTCACAGAATCTTTGAAATGGAAACACAAAATCATCGGTAATTCAAAGATCTACGAACTTTAACATGAAATTATTAATACCAGTAATGATTGTTGAATTGAATTTAAGATACAAATTTCTAAAAACAAGAAAGATATTAATCGGAAAATGTAGGTATAAGTTTTTTTTAAATCACCCTGTATATTGCAAATAATAATGATTATTATTTTTATGCTATAAATAGTGGAGTGCTTTAAGCCCTTATGCGATACAAACCTCGGAATTCATCTACTGTGAACGAATTTTTATAAAACTTTTTGCATTGTATTGTTAATAAGATATATTACAAAGTTTACCCATTTAAATTCGTTGCTTTCACTTTAGTATTTAAATAAACACACATACATATATACAAATGCATACATACAAGATGGCTGGTTTAATTCGGTTGTATTCCGGAAAAGCTTTGTATCAGGGTTCCTATCAGGATTTTCACTCCAAACCTTTTACAAAATATATGTTTAATGGTAGTTCACATTTCAAAAATATTTTTACAGATATACAGGGTGAGTCAAATATATATATCATTTATTTATTCGAGTTCAGTGAATTTGCTATAAAATTCCGGTTGCAAAAATACCTTAATACCATAGAGTATACTAAATGATCTTTGAATTATGACCACGTCCATGAGGACGTCAATCTAGATGTCCAGGAACCTTCGTATGAGAACTTCTAATCGAGACGATCGACTTATTGTAAGTTTATTATCGCTAAGAAACCGCCGTTTACCAGCTTTTCAAATTGATAATGAATTGCACTTAAGGATCGTACATATTAACTAACGGACTACAAGAAGAAGATTAAATGAAGCAAATATTATGCCAAGAAGGCTTACTTCGGGACCAGAACTTACTAGATGTGTTGATTAGGCCCAAAAGCAAAGGCATGGTCTTAATGTAAAAATTACGAAAAAATGTTAGTGCCATTTTGAAACCGAATATTTCCAACAAAAATAAAGCTAATGAGATAAACCAAAAAACAAACCATCGAGAAAGGATATATCTAGATGATAAAATAATTTTTAAATTTCTTGCTGTTTTAACATATTTCACAGGGTGTTTCAAACTTTCACCAAAATATTAACATTTTGTTTTCCCTTGTATAATTAACAGATGAGGAGTTTCTTTTTAATTTAGAAAAAGATACTAAAAAGTTCAATAATTTATCAACACACTGCTTAAAAAATCATCAAAATAGGCCCATTAAAATAAAATATATTAACCTTAAAATACATCAAAGTTTTAAGGTGCCCATTTTTTTGCCGGTGAATGTATTTCAAAAACTATACATTTTAGTCATATACTTTTCTAATGAAACAAACCATTATTTTTTTACTAGAATCCAAAAATCAATTAATATATAGGGTGTTTCATTACAAAAAACATAACTTTGATGTGTCACTTTTTTGGGGGCACCCTGTAGAACTCTACATAATTTTAGAAAATGCTTTAAATTGACTTACATAAGCTCACAAAATTTCTCTTCAATACAAACTTTTGTTCTCCTTGCAAAAACCGTGTCATATTATGATGCGCCACCCTGTATA